TGACAAGTGGATCCACATTTTGCAAATTTTACTGCTCTACATGATGGAGGGTGTGCTGTCAGAGGCCGTGCTGTCCCCATGGAAGTGACGGGGCCACAGACGCTCAGGGCTCGCAAATACACGGGGTGTTGGAAAAGACCAGTGGCATGCGAGCCCACAGCCTGAAATCTGGGGAGAGTGGAAGACAAGAGGCCGGAAGGAAAGACAGGCTCTGAAGGACCCAGCAGGAAGGAGAGACCGAGGCGGGCCCAGCGGAGGCAGGGAGAGTTTCCCACCCGCGGGCGGGCGGGAGGGCCGCCCCACACCTTGCCTTGGGCCACCTCATCTCTCGGCACAGACTGAGCTCTCCTCTCTTCCTTGAGCCTCTCTCTCTTTTTCCTCAGGCTTCGCCCGCGACTGAAGCGCAAGACCTGAAGGAGGCAAGAGGCATCGTTACAAACCGCTGGCGTGCGCCGGGCTGCCGAGGGCCTCCGGCCGAGCCCGCCTGCTGTGTCCCGTGCACCCTGGGCGCTCAGGGCCCCAGCTGCGAGGACGTCATTCCCGACCTCAGGAGCTGACGGTCGACACTGACACTAACAGGCGCGCAGTCCGGGCCAGGGCCGCCACGTAGGTGTGAGCAGGCTGTGCACTGCCCAACTCCAGGGAGCGCCACTCGGAGTCCAGGGCGGGAACGGAGGCCCCTGGGGTTGTGCGGCACGGCAGCCCTATGCCAGGCAGTCTGTCTTGGGATACAGGGTCTGATCTAGCCCACCAGACGTCCTTCTTGACCGAATTGTATCCAAGTCGTATTCAGATAGAACTTTCATTCAAATATAACTGAGATGCACCTGTGAACCACAGTACCAGCCACGGGGCTGGAGTCTCTTCCCCCAGAAGAAGGTTTTGGTCGGCCCCTTTGAGTGCAGAGACATGGAAGGGACGCGAGCAAGGACATGCGGGGCCCTGCAGACTGAAGCCCAGCAGCAAGCTGGAGATCTTCAGGCAAGTGATCTGACCCCTCTGCGCTCTGGCTTCTCAAACATGAGAACAGGGAGCTGCTGGTATTAACCGAGACAGAGCAGGCAGCAGGCACACCTGGCCCATCGGTCCTGGTCAGGGGTCTCCCACCTGCCCGGGGGCCTTAGAATCACTGAGTTGGCAGAAAGGCTTCTAAGCGAACACAGAACAAAGATCTTTGAGCTGGTGGGAACCTCCAGTCTCTGGCCCAGCCCCACATCCTTCTCCTCCAGACTCCCTACTCCTAGTTCCAGCGTTCAGTCCCTTTAAAAAACCAAAGGAGGTCCAGAAGTCAGAAGCACTTTCAAGGTCACACTCTTTCTGCAATAAAACACTATTTTATTGTCTCACAGATAGACAAGCGTTCTCTGAAATTCAGCCTAGTGATTTTCATCTCAAGGTCAGACTTTCTTCTTGTGTTCATTAAATTCAAATGATGCATTATAGGACCAAAAAAAAAAAAAAACCAAACAACACCATCAACAGGCAGTGGGTACCACCTAAATGGAAAATATATGCCTGCAGCTGAAAAGAATTTTTAAATTATATTCTCATCCCCTGAAAGCCAGCAGGTCTAAAAGTGTCCAGGGACCCCTGTGTCCATGAGGTTAAGATTATTTTCATAATATTACAACATTGGCATTTTTCACACTCATCCTCTCATGAGCGTACTGTGGTGTTTGCCAGAAGCTACATAAGTGATATTACAATAGATTGCATGCAGAAATAAAAGCTGGCAGAATTCTGATCTAAGTAAGACAATTGAGAAGATGTGCGAAAACTTTCAACAATTCTACTCTCCTCAATTTTTGTTTTGAAAAGTATTCTTTTGCAAAATGATGCTGTTTATGTTATTACAAAATGGATTTACTTCCAAATGATTAAAGTATTTAATATTTCTCAACTTTATTTTCAATTGGCAACTATTGATAGATATAAACTTACATACATAAAGTTCATTATGGGCCTCCATAACATTGAAGAAAAGTTAAAGGGTCTTTAGATAGAAAAGGTCTGAGAACCAGTGTCCTAAGCCAAATGTAGACTCAGTAGGAAGTCGAGTCAGATGAAAAGAAGCAACTAATGCCCGATGCTCATCTGCTTTATGGACACTTAACAGCACACAGCTCCAGAATCAGCCTAAAAGTCACTTTCCGAAGCATCTGTGCACCACATCCACCAAAAATGAGAAGTAACATTCAGTTCACAAAACACTAAATAATCAGAAAAATTCCCTCCACTGACCACATTATTGGCCAGTGACAACTCTGCATGGCTCACAGCCTTTCTCAGAGAACTGTGCCATCCACCCGGATCACCAGTCTTCTCCACTTCACAGAAACCAGGGAATATTAACCCTAAGGTCTCGGAAGGAAACACCGTCATAGTACTGCTGTGAACCATCAAAATCCATGATCAACTAAGGTGCCAGGACAATCCATGATCAACTAAGGTGTTTCAGGTAAGACAAACACCGAGGCCATTTCTGTAACTACAGATTAACAGAACAGTATGCATGCAATTTCGTGCATATTCCAAAGCTTTTACTTTGCATTGAAAAATAAGGGTTAGTACATACAATTATGTAAAAAAAAAAAAAACTTTAAAAAATATTCTATTTATTTGCTAGTCAGTATGGGTGTGGAGACTTCCCTGATGCGTGTGGAAAATCTTGCGTAAGCTGTTTTTAAAAAAATATTTATTTATTTGGCTGCTGGATCTTAGTTGTGACATGTGGGATCTAGTTTCCTGACCAGGGACCAAACCTGGGCCCCCTGAAATGAGAGCACGGGGTCTTAGCCACTGGATCACCAGGGGAGTCCCAAGCCATTTTTTTAAATGGTAAAGGCTAAAGGAGAACCCACACAGGAAAGTAGTTCACAAGTGAGCTTTATCCCTGGGAATCTAGATCCCTGGGCTCTAGAAGATAAATGACAGGCAGGTCAAAGGCACCTCAGTCCTTGTGTGCCAGGGGAATCCTCCACCCCACAAGACTTGACGGTCTTCATGTGGCTGAGCACAGGGCTGGCTGTCCATCAAAATGCCAGACTCTGAAACGCCAGGTAACTGCGATGGATTCTGACACTTAAACAACACCCTGTCCTTTTTGACCCAGGAGAGGCGAGCATTTTTCTATCAAGATTCTGGAGGTGATTCTGCTAAGAATCTGTGGATCTTCAGAGCCCACTGAAAAGGACTTACTCCATGGACAAGAGGGTGATCGATTCCGCAAGAGATAAAATCTTAACTATTTCCAGAAACTGCTAGTTACATCAGGCATGTTTTTAACACGAGATGGAATCAAGGCCACCCAGAACCCGAGGCTGCCTGGGCCTGGGTGGCACCTGGGGTCCAGGCTCTCCCTCTGGCTCCCCGAGACGATGCCTTCTTGCAGCATTAGCCAGAATAAGGTGGAAAACTAATCACTGTTTGCCGTAAAGAAACAGGGTAGCTCCAATTGGGAAATAACCAAAGTGTTAAACCATTAAGGAAATGGTTTAATACTGGTCAGCAACCAGAAAAGAATATTATGCTTCCATTATGATAAATAATTGTGAAGACTGTAGAACAGTTTCCTATCACAGATAGGATAAAGGGGAGAATACAAAGGGGGATATACATAGTAGGTACAGCTATATAAACATTATGTATCTGTGGAAGGTACTATAAACAAAGCTATTTCAGGGTGCTGAAATCATAAATAGCTTATAGATTATCATGATTAAATTTCTGACTTAGATCGTTTCAACCTCAAATATCAGTCATTATTAAAATTGAATGGTGGCCAATATACCATCATGCGATATTTAATTAAAAGGAGTACAACTGTACTGTACTCAACTGCCTCTAGTGGACATATACGGCTGCCCAGACAGATGCCCATTCCCACCTTTCTCTGGGAAATACCTCCTGTAACCACGTGGTCAAACATCTCCCTAATGCACCTCTGTCCCACTTGTTCTGGGCATCTGCCCCAAGCTCCCAATCACAATCTTCTCCCATGATGTTTTATTGTCTTCATTTTTTGGCTGCCCTGCACACCCTACGGGGCCTTCGTTCCCCTACCAAGGATCAAACCCACGTGCCCTGCATTGGAAGCACAGAGTCTTAACTACTGGAACGCCAGGGAAGTCTCTCCTACAACGTTTTAAACTGGTACTTTTCCCTGGCTGGGAAATTACAATCCAGGAAACTGGTTGTGACAATGATCCAGCCACAGAGAGGAAACGATGCCGGTGCATGAGAACAGCCTGCTGGGCCTGAGGTCTCTGGTTCCAGTCTCCCGGAGGCTCACGCGGATACCTACATTTCCCACTACCTGCTCAGGAAACCCATCAGTCCCTTACATAATGCGGTTTGATCTGGCTTCCGTAGATTGCAACCCAAGGAATCCCAACAACTCTGAAGCCCCCGCATAATCAATACAAGGGAAAATGCGGCAGATCCTACCTGGGGCGCTTTAGTAAGGAGGAGAGCCACTTCCGGATTATTGTGGTAGCGGGCAGTCTCCAGCGGGGTCCGGCCTGCCTACGGAGAGGCACAGGGAGGGCCGGTGAGTACGCGGCCCAGCCGGGACACGCGCAGGCCAGCCGGGACACGCGCGCCCAGCCGGGACACACACGCCCAGCCGGGACACGCGCAGCCCAGCCGGGACACGCGCGCCCAGCCGGGACACGCGCAGCCAGCCAGGACACGCGCGCGCGTCCCAGCCGGGACAGCGCTCCGGGGGGCTGGCAACCCCACAGCGGGGCACATGAGCACCCACAAGTGACCAGTGAAACGCAGCTGCGCGTGTGACACAGCCCCGCCCCTGCCCCTCACCCGTTAACAGGGGAGCCCAGTCACAGCTTCAGAAGGTGGCGGTGTTTAGTCTCCAAGTCGTGTCTGACTTTTTTTCGACCCTGGCCAGGCTCCTCTGTCCATGGGCTTCTCCAGGCAAGAATACTGGAGTGGGATGCCCTTCCGTCCTCCAGGGGCTCTTCCCAACCCAGGGACTGAACCCGCATCTCCTGCATCGGCAGGTGGAAAGTCAGACACACTCAGTGACTAAACCACCACCAGCCACACCCGAGGGAAGTGCTGGCGCTGTGAGCAGTGAGTGACTGGGAGACCAAGGTTGGGGCGCTGCTCGGCCAGGAAGGCTTCCTGGAAAAGAGATGAGGGAGGTTTAAAAAACAAACAAAACAGACAAGGGGAAGATGGAACATCTCAGCTGAGGAAACAGAATCATAAAACTCTAGCCAGGTGATACATTTCCCCTGGAGAACAACGGAGAAGACACCTGTAGGGCAGATCAGGGTCTGGCCGCAGAGACTCAAGAACCGGATTGTGAAAAGCAAGAAGCTGTGGCCGTGACAGAGGCTCGAGCGAGATTCAGCCCCAAGCCAGGAGCTGATGACAGCGGGATTCAGAGGAAGGGAACGGTGCCCAGTCAAGGTACCAGAGCTGGGAGGCCGGCGGGGGAAGGCTAGATAGGGAAGCCTTTCACCAGCTTCCATACCCCAACGCCCCAGGCGAGTGTTCTGCCCCCAGGGGCCCCCTGCCCCCCACCAGCCCGAGGCTGTGCTGTTTCAGGAGCGCACACACCACGGGCCAACCTTGAGAAAGAGAGGGTGTCTGAGCTGGGGCCTGCTATACGATCAGACAGACAGACAGACAAGGGATGGGAAGGTGAGGGGAGAGGCGGAGAGGGAAGGAGGAAAATATCGAGAGGAGGAACAGAAGATGGTGTTGGAGAGAAATGAACTGGAGCTTTGAGGAAGACTGACCTGGTGGCCGTTTTTCTAAGGACCACATCTGTTTAGAAGGCCTGGAAGTCACTTCCAGTATCATCTGCTTGCCCGTTTACTTAGACAGCCCTGACCCTTTTCATGTCGGGATGTCCTCACTGAACTGTCTGACGAGGGGCCCTCGGGGTCGGTAACATCACGGGGCTGTTGAGAGCAGGGGTCCCCTCGAGCCCACCGCCTCTGGCCCCAGGGGTCGTGGGGTGGGCACGCTGCAGCTCTTCCAGAGCGAGGCTGGGCGAGGCCGTGTGCCCTGAGTTCGCAGGAGGCGAGGCGGCCACAGCGCAAGCTGACCCTGCGAGGGGTGGGCACGGCTTTAGAAACGGCTTCAGAAAACTCCACTTACATTATTGACGACGGTCCCATCTGCCCCGGCTTCCAGCAAGACTTTAACCACCTTCTTGTGATTCAGGGCAGCGGCAATATGAAGTGCTGTGTCTCCAGCCTGGAATCCATCAGAAGAAAGCCCGCTGAACCCCATGGGATCGTGGCCCACAGCCCTGCAGCTTTTTATCCCATGGCTTGGTGTTGGCTTTTCAAAGTTAAACTAAAATTTGCCTTAGACTGACAAGTGGCCCTTGGCTAAAGTATTATGTGGTTCTTTTTATTATTTCTTTAAAATATTTCTTTTAACTTATACTTTATTTTTTAAATTATTTTATTGACGTATAATTGATTTATAATGTATTAATTTCTTCTATATAGCAATGTAATTCAGTTATATATTTTTATGTCCTTTTCCATTATGGCTTATCACAGGATATTGAATATAGTTCCCTGTGCTATAGAGTAGGATCCTGTTGTTTAATGGTTCTTTTTTAAAAGAGATCTTGGAAACTGAATGAACTACGCACAAATAGCACATTCCTTTCTGAGTGGGATGCCAGAGATCACAGGGCAGGGCTAAGTGCAGGGAGGCCAAGCAATGCTGGGTGGGCCTGGGGTGTTGGGAATGCAGGCCCTGACCTTACACAGAGGCAGGATCTCAGCCATGTATTTTAAATATTTCTTTTACCTCATACTTTTTAACATTTTTACTTTAAAAGGTAGCTCTGGACCCTGTCTGTCTGCCCTGGCAGAGGATGGGCAGAGAGCCCGTTGGTTTCTGAGCTAGAACGAGCAGGAGCTTCTAAGGTAGCTGCTTCTACAGGCCCCAGAGTGATAGCCCAGCCCTGAAGCCACTCTGAGGGATGTGAAAGGGCCACTGGCACCATCCTACAGGCCAGGGAGTTTTCTGTTCGGGTGGAGTCACTGACGATCGCGTTCACTGAACACCAGCTGTTTTCAACTCCTTACCAAATTTAGCCAATAATTTATTTTTGACAAAAAGCATTTCAGACCATCAAAGGAGGATATGAACAGATGCAGCTGGGTGGGCCAATTACAAATGCAAATGTTGGTTTTAATTCCCAAACCGGATGACATAAATAAGTCAGACGCATACAGAAGTGAAATCACTCATTCGTTCATTCCTTGCAGGTGATCAAGTATGAAAATCCAGCCATCTTCGGGCCTCCTTCCCTGGTGAGTAGACAGGGAAAGTGTTCATTTCATTCCTGAGTCACCTAGGTGTATGTTAGGGGAAGTTCTGGAGCTGTGGTTTCCAGTCTCTGCTGCTCACCGCAATCAGCTGGGAAGCTTTATAAACTACTGACGCCGGAGTCCCACCCAGACATTGACTTAATTGGTCTGGAGCATGGATAGGGCATGATGAGTTTTCAAAGCTCCCAGGTGATTGAAACATGCCCCCCAGGTTGAGAAGCACTGGTTGGTGAGGCCTGTGTTGGGGTAACCTGACAAACGAGAATCCACGGGGAGGCTGTAGAAGGACAGACTGTAGCCGTTAGGTCAGTGGTTCTCAATCCTGTCTGCACACTCAGGCATGGGATTTTCCAGGCAAGAATACCGGAGTGGGCTGCCATTTCCTTCTCCAGGGCAAGTTCCCGACCCAGGGACTGAACCCTGGTCTCCTGTATTGCAGGAAGTCTCCTGAACTGCTGACAGAGTCTTTACTGAGTCACCAGGGAAGCCCACACTTAGATCAGGAGCTTTCAAAAAATACTGTTTCCTGGACCTCACCCCCGGATGTTCTGGTCATCTACATTAGGGGTGGGATTCAGGAATGGCATATTTAAATTCCCTTTTGATTCCAATATGCAGCCAGGGTCAATAATCATCATTATAGGGTATTTTAAATCTGAATCATGACCTAATTTTTAAAATTTCAGATTTATGCACCCAAACTCAGAAAAGCCAAACCATGCATCCGTTAGGTATAGGTTTCAATAAATAACAGGACAACTTTTAAAAATCCAAATGACTATTGAAAAGTCACATTTCCACAGGACACTGTAATAACCACAGCTTTATCTCAAAACCCCACTACACGGTGGAGATACTGACCATTCCCCGAACTTCACAGAAACAAGTGGCTCCATCAGCTTAGCTCACATAAAGGGGGTGGTGCGAGGAACAGAACTCGCGAATCACGACACCGAACGCCCGTGCTTACTTACCAAGCCACTCTTCCTTGCGGGTTTCATTTCTAAAAATCACACTAACGACAAAACCCACCCCCAGGATTTCCAAAAAAGGTTCACGATGCAAATGTGGTGACATGCCCTGGAACGCCAGAGAAACCAGGGCCACGGGAAGCCTGCGCTTCCTTCAGAGGCCAGCACTGGCGAGCCCCACATCGGGAGAAGGCGCCGCCTCCCAGCACCCTGTCCCCGCCGGCGCTCACGCACCTACCAGCGGACCGTGGGGAGGACACGTGCACTGACCTGGTTCTTCTCATGGACGGAACAGAAAGCGCTGAGGAGGAGCTTAATGATGGACAAGTGGTTGTAGCGTGCGGCAACGTGCAAACAGGTGTCGCCTGCCTGCGGACAGAGACCACACTCTAAGCACGGTCTGGGTGGTTACAAAACAAAACAGCAAATTAAAAGAAAACTATCCTTTACAAGCTAGCAGACAAGCATGTGTTCCTCACAGGGTAATGGCCTGATTGACAAGCATCTCCTTTATCACAGGTGCTCACTCCACAACTGGGAGCCCTTCCCTGTGTGCAGCTCTCTTTCCCACCACGCAGACTGTCTCCGGTTTCAGATCCTGGAGGCCTGCTGCCCAAGAGACCTTTGCCAAAGCTAAGAGAGGTTCTGCCTAGCAGACACTTACTAAGACTCCACTGACCCCTGCCTCTCCTATAACCCAAAGGCTCTGGATGACACTGCCCAAGACCGATAGCATCACTTTGGAAATGAGACTTTCCCCATCACAGATCCGTTGTGGCTGAATGGACTAGGAAAGTGGGATGAGTTGCTGGATTTTAAGATTACGTGCTCTAAAAAGTTCAAGTGCACCCCATTCTAGCAGTACCCCAGGATCCCACGGGGAGCAATGCAGTCTAGGGAGCTGACGAGGAAGCAATCACTGGGCATAAAAAAGGACATTCAAAAGCAGTCAGGAGCAGGGTCTTCCTTGGTGGTCCCAGACCAAACTGCTCCCAGAGGGAAAATGAGAAAGCTGGAGAAGATCTCGTGACGCTTTGCGGAGCTCCCCTGACTTCTCACTTGAGCTCTAGTTCTGTCTAGAGATGGTGACGCTTCAGCACAACCTTCTCCTCTGGACTAAGGAGGGACCAAGCTCAACGCTGAAGTTCAGAGCATTCTCAGGACCACTTTAGGTAAGCCTGCCCCCAGTCAGGGAACCCCAGCTAAAAGTCCTTTTTTTCTTTGGCCACGGTGCACAGCCTGTAGGACTTGCTTCCCCAGCCAGGGATCAAATCCGTGCCCCTTGCAGTGGAAGCACAGAGCCCTAACCACTGGACCACCAGGGAAGCTGCCCAGCCAAAGTCACTTTTGAGAGAAGCCTCAGATTCTTTTGCCATGTGGCATCAGCTTCATGCAGGAAACCCAGTGTCCGTGGAGGGAAGGGGGGTGCCCGTGGGACATTTCAGGCCAGGAACCTCCAAGAACTACTGGTCATCAGCTCATCCCAAGGATGCCTCAGGGGCAGATTTGTAGATGCTGGGCGTGGAGCATCAGACAGCCTCCCCAGGCCAGCCTCAGCCTGTATTTACTAAGAGTGCAACACTGTGTGGGCGGAGGCTTCCTGAACACAATTACTCATTCTTAGACCCACTTGCTAGACACCTGCTGTACAAAATGATAAAACTCACTGAGAGGCTGAGGAGCAAGGGGCAAGCGTGGGAGAAAAATCAGTGTTTCCGAGTGTTGATTCCTCTTCCCATTCCCCTAATGCAGGGGTCCCCAACCTCTGGGCCACGGACTGGTACCTCTTGTCAGATCAGCGGTGGCACTGAAGTGCACAATAAACGTAATGCACTTGAATCATCCCCAAACCATCCCCCAACCCTGCCCCCATCCGTGAAAAAATTGTCTTCCATGAAACCTGTCCCTTAAGCCAAAAAGATTGGGGACTGCTGCAAAAGGATCCTTTAGGAATTAGCAACAAATGAATACTTTCTTGATAGTCCCTAAACCCCTTTTATTAACAAATTTTCATTTTCTACACGTGAGTATTCTAGTATGCTTTCATACTGGAGGCAATGGAAGAGAGTGCAAGAGACGCTACTTTTGTTCACCCACATTATTTTTGAGGTCGGCGCGGGAGCCGCCCAGCAGAAGGACGCGGGTGCTCTGGGCATGGCTGTTCTGGCAGGCCAGGTGCAGAGCCGTGTTCCCTGCCTGGGAGAGAGGCGAACAGAGGGGGCACATGTTAGCAACACCCCCTGCAGGCCGGGCACGCTTGCAGGGGGCCAAGACTCACAGGAGAGTCACTGTCCGCGCTCTCCGCTTTCTGCTCGGTGGACCCAATCGGGGTGCTTCAGAGGCGAACATGTAACTGGGAATCCAAACCAGCAGAGGAGTCACGTGGGTCATAAAACCTCGGTTCCAAACCCTGGCTCTGCCGCTTACTGCTTGCAAGCTACTGGGGAATGCTCTTAATAAGCGCCACCGTGGGTTCCTCACCTGTAAAGTGGAGCATGACCCCCATGTGCTGGGACAGTGAGGGTTGATTCGGAGGGCTGAGGAGACCGTCTTCTTCACGGCAGAGCTCTGGGCACATGCGCAAGGCTGTTCCTCTTAGTTGTAAGAGGAACATGGAACAGCTGTGGATGGCCTAACAACGGCGGTAAAACAGGCCGATTCTAGCGGGCTACAGTAACAGATTTAACTTGCAAGCCTCTTCCGAATCTTGGGTTTTTCTTGAAACATCAAAATCTAAACTATGGGCAAGGTCCCCCACAGGACACGCAATACAACTGCATCTATCACTTCCCATAGAGATAGAGACCCTCTTGCTTTTGGGAGTTTACCTTCAAGGTCAAATGGCAAACAAAGGTCAGGATCACATAGACTACAGTCTTGCAGAAAGACTGCATTGACAAGGAGAGAACTTTCTGAAACCAGGGAATGAGGCCTGCAAGGCTGCTGATAACCCCTAGGAGAGTGACAAGAAAAGCAGGCAACGTGATTCGGTGCGAGGATTTGGGAGATTAAACACATAAGCTCCGTGTTTGTTCTGCTGAGCGTAAAAGCTGGGTCAGGCCTGCAGTTCTGGGCTCAAAGCTGTCAGCCTGTTTATGGCTTTTCCCTGGCCCGGTTCACTCCTCTTTGGATCACACGGCACTGTCTGCCCAGACTCAAGGATGGTTTATATTCCTTACCTTTGAAAAGAAGAATGGGTTCTTAAAAACAGAAGAAAGCTGTGTGCTGCAGGGCCACTTACCACCCTTCTCATGACCTTAGCTCTAACCAACCTGGGCAGGGTCTTTCTTTCCTCGTTTCCTCTGGTAACGTGGTAAGTTCTGAGCCTGAGAGTTGAGTGAGTTTGTTGGTTATCAAGCCTCGGCTGCAAGTTGGACTCAACTGGGGGACCCTTCCAACAGACCAGTGCACGGATGCAACGCAATGTCCCCGCCCCAGGGGGTGGGGCCAGGCTGTTCATGTGTAGGTGCTGAAAGGTCTGCATTCTGGGACGCACCCCTTCCCTGACTCCAGGCAAAAGCAGGACAGCTGGTCATCCCAGGCCTGCTCATCATGTGGGTTTGGTTTTTTCCCCTCTTCTCTCCCTGTTTTTTTTTTAAACTTTCCCGGGAGAGTTTAAAGTGCAGCCAGATAGAGGCACTGCCAGCTTAGTCCTCCAAAACAAAGGGTCTGCCCATATTTTAAACACTCCATTCCCTGGCAGGGCTCAGGGCTCAGCTTAGTGAATTCTCAGTACACATAGAGAAGGTTTTCCCAAAGCTGTTGGCTTCCTGGGAGTCACTTAAATATATGTTGAAAAAAATATATGTTAAATATATGTTGAAAAGAAATCTGATGGCTGTACAAAAAAATTTACTTTGTCAATAAGAAAATATCGATCATGCTGAAAAGCATTTGGAGGAAGAAAATGAAAAAACATGGGCTAGAATATAGATTATGGTATATGCTCACAGTGGAACATTACTCAGTGATCAAAAGGAATGCACTCATCATATGTGTAATAACATGGAAGGCTCTCCAATGTGTAAAATGAAAGGAGACACAAAAGGCCGCAATGTCAAACCTGAAATTTCAAAAACTGGCCTGCTATATATCTAGCAGGCATTTTTCCCACCCTGAGTAATGAGGACCGATTTCTAGACAGGGGCTTCTGTCCTTGGCTGAGTAAGGACTTTTCTTATGCGACGGAATATTATCCAACCTTTAAAAAGAAAGAAATCCTGTCACTTGCAACAATATGGATGAACCTAGGGGGTGATACACCAAGTGAAATAAGTTAGACAGAAAGACAAATACTCTGTCATCTCACTTCTGTGTGGAGACTGGGAAATAAAAAGATGGACTTGTAGAAAGAGAGAGTAGGAAAGTGGCTGCCGGAAGCTGGAGCTGGGGGTGGAGGGGGACACAGAAAGTGGTAAAAGGACATAAACTTCCAGCTCTAAGAGGAACAAGGCCTTCGAATCTAATGTGTAACATGGGGCCTAGGCTGTTAACACTGTCTTGTATAATTGAAATTTGCTAATTGTCAAACTTAAACGTTCCCACACATACACAAAAAGGTAAATAAGTGGGGGTGATCAATGTGTTCATTAACCCTTGGGAGCTATCAAATCGTAATATTGTAGACTTTACGTACCTTATAATTTGTGGGGGAAAGAAAGCGAGAGGAGGACCTCCTAGAGGCCCCTCGAGGCTGAGGCCGGTGAGCATGAAGCCCCTCTCCCGGGGGGACACCTCCCTTGTGCTGCCCTACACAGAGAGAAAGCTCGTGGCTCCCCGCACAGCTTGGGGGCCCTCCCGGGCGCAGGTGGCAGTGTGCTGAAGTGGACCCAGCTGGGGTAGTTCACAGCCCTAATTGCGCCGCACGAATCACATGTCTCATAAGACTCAGGTGAGGCCTCCCCATCCGTTAACTGGGAACCACCTACTTCGAGTTGGTATAAGCTTACCAACTCCTGTGCCAGGCCATGGCCCACCTGGAAGAAATGGAGGGCCACCAGTCCTCTAGGCAGTGAGCTGGGCTTTTACTGGAGATGCAGGCTGCTTCCCCGAAGCCCTCGGCCCGTGAGGGCACCATGAAACATCTCACCAGTCAGCACAGCCCGGAGCTGCGTGTGGTCCTGGGAGCTGGAGAAACCTGGCCGCCCGACGGGCAGGTCCCCACCCTGAGGGTCAGTGGGCAGGAAAGAAATCGGGTACCCCTAAGGGAGGGGGCGAGGGAAGAGATGGCGGGCCCACCCTGCAAGCCCAGGAAG